ATGGCGCCAGTACGCCAAGAATGCTCTAGGGTCACATCGGCGAGATCAGAGTAAGGATGATCGCCAAAATACAATACTTCGTGGCCTGACCAATTCATCATCTCTTGCAATTGTTTAACAGTACCTTCAAAATACGTTCTTCCTTTTTCCAATTGACAAACGCGATCCCATAGATGTGTGCCGGCCCGAGTATCGAAAACTCGAAATGGTCGTGTTTCATCTGTAAAAAAACGTGGCTTTCGCGCTTGCACGATTACAATATCGAAATAGTCTTTCCAATTTTGACCGACCAGCATATTCATGCCTTGATTTCTATTATCAAATTGAAACAAATTTTTTGGATTATTGCGATTATTTAAAAAAAAAGAGGAGCCAAAGACTTACACAAAATGGTACGGGCTATTTGTCACTAGAAATAATTGTTTATTGTCATCTTTAAGGCGTTTAAAGAAATGTTTGAGCTGTGGATTGGCTTCGATGTATTTATTCACGTCCTGAGCAACAATTCTATGCATGATCGGATGACATGCTCCCATCGAATGCTGAAAAAACATTTTTTTTTCTCATTATTGTTATTTCATTCAATCGACTTGAAAATAATTTGAATATATTTTTTGAACCTACTTTGACATCGCTAAAAAGAATCTCCGGGTGGTAATTAAGTTGCTCTTTTTGAAAATACTCTGCTACATTGCACAATAGGCTAATTTCAGGTACTGAAAATAAATCCGCCAATTGTATCATTTTCCCTCGTCCATACTGAGTCTTCGATGATCCTTCAACATAAGCTTCAGAAGGAAAAACAATGCTTATTTTGGATTTAACGGATGTTGGAGAAAAAAAAAGTATTTACCTAATGGTATCGAACGATTGCGGTAGTGTTTAACGACTTCGGCATCAGTAATTGGAGTTAATCCACGGTAAACCGATCCAAATTGAATTTGCAAAAATGAATCGAGTTTGAGTAATAAACCCTTTTCAATATCATAATGCAATCCACGAATTGCAAATCCTGGCATATACTCCAAGCTTTTTATTGCCTCAGGATACTAAAATGATGAATAGAAATTTAGAAGCAAGCAAAAAATGACAAGTTCACGCCAACAACCTTTGTGTTTATCGATTTTTCTAAAACAAAAAAAAAGTATTCGAGATGAAAAGTGTCATCTAACCTTATATTTCTCGACTAGCATATCCCGAGCCAAGCCATACAGTAGGTAATGCAAAGACTTTTTATAGCAAGCCAACGTATAATCATAGTCAAAGCCATAGACCTGAATCTCATTAAGATCGAGCTCATTGCATGCAAATACAGCAGTCTTATTCACGTTCTTTGGTAATTTTTTGGCTGAAATCAAATGCTTATTTATATTAAACACGAAGCAAACAAATTTTGAAGAAAAAGGACACTCTTTTCGCCTTAAAATGAAAACTTACACTGGAATAACGTTTTAGTTTGTTCATAAATTTCGTCATAGTTGTGAATGGATCGTTCAGCGGCGAATGTAACTTTTGGCGGATAAGTTAATAATCGCATAAACAATGAACACCGATTTTTCGCAAACATCTTGTACCAGCAGATGATTTGACGAAGAAAAAAAAACTAATTACACAGAGCAATAAAACGTATGGCAGATAAAATAATTTCGTTCCAAACGATTTCAATCAGTTTGAAAATGTGAAAATCCGTTGAATGCTCATTTTTGTTTTTGCAACGATAATTGTTTATTCCGGATACGATTGCAACTAATCTCACACTGTGTGCAATATGTAAACAAAAACAAAAAGAAACATGCGGAACTTTTATCAAGTCACGCAGTTAGGTTACTCGTGTGACTATACAGCTGTCATTAAGCGCGATATTTTGGAAAAATGAAAATGGATCAGCGCCATCTCTTAGAATTAATTGTATTTACCAATTTATTATTCGAGCATATGGATACTATCAATTGGATTGTCTGTGAACGCATCCATTTGTGAAAGAATTGCATGTAATTCTGACACACAAAAAAAATAAATACAAACCATTGGATGCATTATCAAAGAACACGACAATTCAATTGATTCAGTGGTGTGTATGAGCATTTAAATTGTTGTGAAAATTTTTTTCTCTGTCATCATCTATTCGGTCGGAAACAGGTGAAATAGAAAAGAAAGATTATACATTTTCACAGCAAAGAATATAAAATACAAAAAAGAAAATAAAAAAAAGTACCATCAACTGAATCAAGAAGGCTCACGTTTTTCTGATTAAAAAGATATACATGTAAGTAATACAATTGATATAATTGTTTGACATTCAAATTGTTGAATCATACTCGTACTATTCCACAATTTGTGTTTTCGATTGGTTTATATAGCCGTGATAGAATAATGAGTGCCGCACCAGGTAGCAATTATCATTTCGATTACAATAGACACATTTACAGTGGCAATTATGATCAAAACGATGTACACACCGAATTTTCCGAACCAACTGAACGTAAGTCGAAAGACTTTTACACATGGATTGCATGTCAATTAACTCTAATTGTGAAATCAAATATTGAATATTCGCAGAAAACTGGATTCCAATGCCAGCCGTTTGTCGATTTTTTTTGAATGGCAATTGCCGATATGGTGATTTTTGTCGTAATTCGCACAACATCCAAAATGAACCGGTATTAAGTGAACCAGTTGGTGAACTACCACCTCAACAAAACACCGCAACCAACACCACCACAACTATCAACAACAATATCAATAGTCATAATGCTCCCAATGATGTTATACGTAATTGGATCGATGCCCCAGAATTTATACCACGTTATATAAGCCAAAACACCAATCAAGTCACACAAACAACTAACGAAGATGAAGGTGCTTCAAGGTTTGTATAAAAAAAAATTGGATACACCTATAATGACATTGAGTTATTGATTTTATGTTTATAAATTCAGCCAAAACACAGCAATTTCCTATGCTCAAATCGTATCGGGAAATCCATATACCGAACATGCGGAGCAAATGCAAATGTACGATACTGAAGCCAGTAATTTACCACCGCCCGAAAATACACTTTGTCCCTACATTAAGTCAACCATTACCCGATCGGACGGTACCATTAGTTGTAAGTATGGTGATCGTTGCCCATACCAACATGGTGATCTCTGTGAAATATGCGGCTCATACTGCCTCCATCCTACCGATCAAAATCAACGAAAAACCCATGAAAAGGTATTGATTGACATTTTTTTTCCATACAATACATT